AAAAAACAACGAGTTATAACTATTCAATTATTTAAATTCTTGTAGAATAAGAATAGTTTTATGTATTTATAAAATAATTATATTTAAATGAAACAGAGGTTTAAATTGAATTGATTTATATATTTGATGAGAATTTTACAAAATGTAAAGTTTTTAATAATAAAATAAAATAATAAAGAAATACCTTTATTTCATTTTAACTTATATATTAAACTTTATTTTAAAGGCAGTTATGGAGTTAAACACCGGGTAGTAATTCACCCAAAATGTAGAATTTGGTTCATTAGCAGTGTTTATATGGGATTTATTGCCAAATTGTATAAATGATTGTTTGGCACTAAAATTATTAAATTAGTGTTTTCTTATGAATGCTGTAAATATTTGAAATATACTTAAATGTTTACTTTATTTTGGTTTTCGAAAATATCTGAGCACTAAATAACCCATGAGTCGAAATGTGATCAAAAATAATATTAATATAATTGAATTGAACCAAATGGGCAGCGGCTCAGAGCCATCATTCATAATATCCAAGTGAACCGATAGCTCTCGATATGGAATCGTTTGGGAAATTGTATTTTGATTATGGGTTTCATTTAACGCCAATTCACACGACAAGAATTGGGACGTCTTTGTTGAACACCTGTTGAATACGAAATTAATGTTGTCATTAGATAAAAGGATAATCTATTAGAAAGTATGTGACACTCACTCGACTGGGGGTCCGTTGAAGAACTCACTCATTTGCATATTCATGAAGGCGTAGTACACTATTGAACAGTACCTCAGCCAAGACAACCAGACGGGCATTTTGGCCGAGTAGTAGCCGGCAAACAACATGGTTGATAAGGAATACAATGCCGACAGTGTAACCGACACTTCCAGATCAGTACATAACGCGCCTATGAATAGACCTACACTTTGAGCANGACAACCAGACGGGCATTTTGGCCGAGTAGTAGCCGGCAAACAACATGGTTGATAAGGAATACAATGCCGACAGTGTAACCGACACTTCCAGATCAGTACATAACGCGCCTATGAATAGACCTACACTTTGAGCACAAATCGTTGAGAGTATAAGGAAAGCCCACAACGAGAGGAATGTGGTTGTGTTGGAAGAACCCATCATTGGATACGATATGACAAAGAATACTGAGGGAAGTGTTATAGTGAGCGGAAGTTCTCCAATCATTTTGGCGATATAGTAGGACGAGAGACGGTATGCACCCGAAGATCGCTCTTTGTTGATGACATCCCTTTCCGCTGGGAATGATATGAGAGCTCCGAAGAGCGCGAATAACATCCAATATGTTGTCGCTATAAATGTGAGAATAGATTGCAATTTAATTTTGAAAATCAATTTCTCACAAAAGCAAAACTTACTGAAGAACATCCAGCCCTTAATGTCGTTCAACGTGTCCTCAGTCCTGACCACTTGAAACCAAATAAGTCCGGCCACAAGTGCTAAGGCTATGGTTTGAATCCAATTAAGTTTAGAGAGCATCCGATGTCGCGCTTCATAAAAGTTGCGTTTCGTTAATACTCTGAGTTGAGTCCAGAAACTTGTCGGCCATTTCTGGCCATTTGGTAAGGAATATAAATTAACGCAAATCTCGTCATTATATGAACAATTGGAAGAGAAGGTTGAGGTTGAGCTGCGGTCAGTTTGAGACCAGGAGGACCGGCCCGAGTCGTCGTCACAAACAATCTTATCATAAACTCTATGCTTTTCGTCGTCAATAATGACATGCAATTCAATTGGTTTCAAAGTGGAGTTATTGTCAATCAAATCATTGGATTCTGTGTGGAAAGAGTGGGTCCCGTGGCTCTGGTCTTCTCGATAGGAACTGTGTTGTGAGAGTATGTGATCGTCCGACTCATCGGATGGCAGTTTAGGCAAAGCTTTGGCCGCAGTTATAATCTTTTCCTGAAGCGAAGTGTTCTTCACTTTTTCCATAACAAAATCTGCCGGATTATAGTGAGCGCTGATCTCCAAACCTATACCACTAAAGAACGGAACCACTGCTGATATGTCCCCAAAATAGGCTGATTGTCCGCAACATAACAACAATAACTTGTCGATCATATAAAACATTTGAGACGATGGCTGATGAAGAGTAGCCACAATTGTCTTCTTTTCTTTAACTGCATATTCTTTGAGTGTTTGCATCAGACTGTGAGCTGTACTCGAATCCAAACCAGAGGTCGGCTCCTATACATCACATATTATATTTGGTCAGTTATTTAGTGATTTATAAGCCAACAATAAACTTGTCTAAACTTACGTCAATTAACAGGATATTTGGATTTGTTAACAATTCACAGGCAATGTTAGCTCTCTTTTTCTCGCCACCTGAAAGGCCTCTCTTCATAATATCTCCAATAACTAAAAATATACACAATATTTAATAAATATTTCTAATTTAATATTTAATATTTGGTGTTTAGAGATAGTTTAGGTGTTAATTTTTAATACTGTAGAACCAAGAATAACCAAATGTTTTATTATTTAATAATGACATTTAATAGAAAATCTAATGTGAATAATGTTTAGAATTTAAAATGATTACAAATACTTAAATTTAATTAATAAACTAAATATACGGGATTCATTTCTAAATTAAGTAAATTAAGTAAAATTGTTTCATAATTAAATATATTAAACAATACTAATCAATATGTTTATGAAAAAATGCATTTGAATTTTATCAAATTTAATTGCAACAAGTTTCTAATTAACATGAAATAAACTAGAATTGGGTAATAAGGGGTTAGGTTTGACGCGAAACCAAACTTACTGGTGTCCTGACAGTGCCTGAGGTCCAAAACATCAATAATCTTCTCCACATGACTGGCCTTTTCATTGAAGTCCATAGAGTCTGGAAGTCTGAGTTGTGCCGTATACTGGAATTATATGTAACACTATTTTTACTTAAAGTTTATTTAATAATTCTTTAATTTTATTTCTTACGATTAAAATTATTACAGAAGAAAATTATTAGTTATGAAACTTGATTGCACCCCAAAAACTAACCTTATATTATACTCAATAGTAAACCTAAGGCATTGCAAACAATATGCATGTATTTTAACATTGTATTGAATTTACGTAAATAATTATAGTGTTGCATATTTGTTACATATAAAACCTATTGTTACCTAAATTTATATTAATTACATCACGTGATTTGCCCCTCCCCCTTCCCTAATTGTTTACCCAGTTTAATTTTTCCACTTCAAAATCACTCTTTCTTTCATTAATCAAAATTATAAAAAATATATATAAATTTGACATTATTTTACTATAATTGTATTTTAATTACAAATTACTTTCATTTGTTTTAAAACTATTTTATACTATAATAAAAGTCAATGTCTTAGTCAATGTTTTACATAAATAGTTTCATAAAAATATACATAAAGTTAATATATGTGTGAAATATGGTAAACATCAAATTAACACATTATTTTAAATTATTCTATATGAGAAATGTAAATTTATATTATTGCAATAAATAGTTGATTATTTTAACAAAATTATTAAAAAATTTAGAAGAAAGCAATAAAATATATTAATAAATAAAAGTCGGTATTTTACCATTAATATACTATTAATATAAATGTTTAATTAATTTTAAATACGCTTAAATATTGAAATCGTTTTCTAAATTTATGTCAGTATTATTGCCTACAATACTGTATATTATAGTTTAGTATTTAATATTTTTTTCGTACAAATATAAATAACAAATAATTCATTTTAATATTAACTAATTATTCAATTATTTTATGAAATATAAATTATGTTTTAAAAATTAATAA